CAACAGGGCAACATCGTACTCTAATGATAAGAAGTGGACTGCAGTCACATGCTTCATAGTGTGCAGTCCTGCAGGACACATCACCTTCTTATCCAAAGGCTGGGGAGGAAGAGCATCAGATGTCAAGATAGTTAGGGAGTCTGGCTTTATTTCACCCCTCTACCACCATCCTGGGGACCAGGTCATGTTTCATCTTACATCAAGTGCACACTTAAAAGTGAAAAGATTTGAAAACAACTGATGTGTGAACAGAACGGGTGATCGGTGCGCTGAAGGAAGGTTCCACATCCTGGATGGGCCGCTCCCCGTTTGCTTCGTAAAGACGGGACGAGATGGAGGACAGGGATGTAGACACCATTGACAAGATAGTACAGACCTGTGCCACCTTGGTCAACATGTCAGGTAGCATTGTGTTCAATAAAAGTGACAGGGGGATGTATAGGTCAAATCCGTCCTGCTGTCTTTTGTCTTTGAGTCACTTGGTTTGGGCCGTGGCAGCAAAAGAACAACTTGTGGTATTCTTCAATGACTATCCTTCAGCTTTTTAAATCTACCTTCCTGCTCTGCTCCCCACCCAGGAATGACAGTTAACCTAATTATTCTGTAAATGTAAATAAACTATGTGTTAGGAATTGTCTTAGCTAGTACTAACCTAACAGCCACCAAACAACAAATGCTCGCAGATGTTAATGAACTATAAATATGAATAGTTGTTTTGTGTTTTACCTGAAGCTCCTGTTCTGTCGGACACAGCACTGTCTGTTGACTCCTGACATTGTTATACATCATTTGTGATTATTTGTATTGTTTCATAATATTCGTGTGCCATGTATTACATAGTATAAAGATATACCAAACAGTGTATTTGCAGTCCCTAAGGAAAATGTTTTATACCTGAAGCTCCAGCTGTTTCTGGGTAGATGTGCCTGGCCCACAAACGGCTAATGGTGTCCACGGCCTGACACTGAACATCTTCATCTTGTTGGACACGGAAGATAACGGTTTGCTTTGGCGTCCAGGTGATGAAGTCTGCATAGGTTGTTTTGCACACAAACATCTGCAGCTGCACCTGGAAAAAACTGTGGTTGGTCCTCAGCGACAACAAAGTGTCCAGATGTCCTCTCTTGTCTGCTGGCCAGTGATCAGCTGACAAATCACTATTCCACTTCAAGGGGCACTTTACCTCAACCACCCCCTTCCCACAGCAATCGCAGTGTACATACGCATCACAGCTTACACCAATGTAGGGCTTCTCTCTGCACACTCGGAAGCCTGCCCGTTGAATACTGATGCTTGTGTGGGGTTTATGTCACTGGAGATGTTGATTACAGTCGGTGCTGTATATGCAGTTGTAAGGCCCAGTGGATACTTGTATGTCTCAATTGCATCCTTTTCGTGTTCCCTACCCCAAATGATGCCTGGTGTTTTCAGCTGAGACTCTTTCTGCACAATAACCCTCAGCAGTGATTTTGATGGCTTCTCAAGAGATGTGTGGAGAACTCAGGGTGTTTCTCAATCGCGAGTACGCTTGCTTGGTAGCACATGTCTGCCGAGCATCTTGCTTCAGAAGCGAGTCAAGAATACTTCCTGGCATTTGGAAAACAAAGAGTGGAACAGGCTAGCAAGTGTGCAGGTGTGCGTCATATGAGAGGCCCCGCCTTACATCTTCCGCCACAGGTTTGGGGAAATTGGTCCGTGCGCAAAGCATTGTGGGGATTTTAAGACCGCGGAGTCTACTCATGTGCAGCCTCGATATTTCTCCAAACGGAGTACGCCGGGCTCGGTAGATTTCCAAGTATGCTGGAGATTGGAACAGTACTTCGGCGGCACTCGATGACGTAGTATGCTTGAAATAGTGGCTCTGCAGCAGCTTTACTCGCGATTGAGAAACACCCACTGTGTGCCGATGTACCCGTCACCCTCCCAACCCTCTGCTGGTGCCAAGATGAACATTCTGCCTGGTCTTTTGTCTCTTCCTCTATTGCCTGTACCTAATCATCGGAACATTCTGGCAGATGTTGGTACCATGGCTTTGGTTTGAAAGGGAAAAGTATTATATTTATTACAGGTTTCCAAGTTACCCATTGAAAAAGGGTGACAAACAAGTACATGCTCCTTTAACTGTAAGCTGCAGAGATCACCTCACATCACAGAGATACATTAACATTATGTCCATATTAAAGTTTCAATGCTAAAACACATTTTTTGAAAGCAAGGCTTATTTTCTCAAAACACAATTCACAAAACCATCCCCACCTCATATATCCTGCAGAATGAAGCACTGCACCCAGAACGACAGAAACACTTAATTCATAGTACAATACATTTTGTAAAACCAACTACACGCCATCGTGCTCAAGCACACTCATCTTTTAGTCTACAAAAACATGTGCAGAAACTTTTCAAAAGGTGGAAAGTAGAATTGCAAATTGGCTGCTACGAATCACTAAACCCAGAGGATAAGACCGTTTACAGAGATAAATGTGCGTCGATTGGTTCGTGGCAGAGGTGGGACCAAGTCATTGTTTTGCAAGTCCGAGTCAAGTCTCAAGTCTTTGCGCTCAAGTCCGAGTCAAGTCTCAAGTCTTTGCGCTCAAGTCCAAGTCAAGTCTCAAGTCAGGATGGGCAAGTTCAAGTCAAGTCCAAGTCCTAAACTTTGACAAAACGAGTCTTAAACAAGTCATTATGTGCTTTTCAACAAATGTAATGACACCCATCAACAGAATAATACTTAATAATCAAACTGCTCTTTATTAGTCACATTAATCATTTAATAATCCATTTTCTCTCTGCTGGTAAAATAACCTGTTTTCTTCTATTGTAAGAGGGATAAGTAAGGTAAGGCTACCGTGACGGTTTGATTCAGAAGGAGTTTAATGTATAAGATCCCTGATGTTGAGGTAACCAGAATGTTTATTTCCACTGTGTACAGCATGTTATAAGGGACCCACAATCTATCTTTATGCAAGGGATAATGTGCAGCGAGGCGGTCTTTATGCGGAAAAAAACCTGAATCTAGATCCCTCTGCAGGTGGTACTTTAAGTATATTTTGATGATAATACTTTTCTACTTTTACTTGAGTAACATTTTGAATGCAGGACTTTTTATTATAACCGAGTATTCCTGCACTCTGGTACTTTTACTCAAGTACAAGATCTGAACTTCTCCCACCTCTGGCAATAAATCCTGAGTAGTTACCAAAGAAAAACCCTGCTCTGAAGGTTATTTTCATTTTACAAATCCTGCACCCAGCTTTGCTTTCTCCAATATCATTGAAATGTAGGCAGATGCTGCTTCTTTTTTCGGTTTTCGCAAATTTCTTGACTTCTTCCGACGCGCTTGCATTTAAATCCGGCTCCCCGTCTCCCAGTGGCTCTGTAGCTGGCCTGTACCACTACACCTGCTGTCTTTGGAGCGTCTGCCCCCCACCCTTCTTTCACATAATGGTATGATCCTAGTGTGTCCTCGATTATGATTGGCCGCATGGTGGCTCAGCTAAATAAAGTCCCGCCCCTGCCTGCATGGATTCACAGCAAGAGTTGCAGCGGCTGAAGAATCTGCTCTCCCCGACGGGAGTCTGCTCTTCTAACGGCAGCTCGCGATCGGCGTGTTGGAGACCCCTGATTTAAATTATCAAGTCACCTCAAGTCAGGAGGCTCAAGTCCAAGTCAAGTCCCGAGTCATTGGTGTTCAAGTCCAAGTCGAGTCGCAAGTGTTTTGTGATTTTGTCAAGTCGAGTCCAAAGTCATCAAATTGGTGACTCGAGTCTGACTCGAGTCCAAGTCATGTGACTCGAGTCCACACCTCTGGTTCGTGGACCCTTATTTGATTCCCGTTAAGGATTACAGCACCGATATAAATTCATGGCCTTCACCTACTGTGATATCGTGAACTACCTGGTTTTCTCGCCTATGCCATTGTACACCATGGAAGAAATGAAGGCGTACAAAGGACTCGAGGCACATAACCAGTTCACATCCGGGTGGATCCGCAACGTTTGCGTTGCATATCAAGGACATGTGGCTGTAATAGCTGGAAAAGTGAGTCAATATTTCGTGAGGTCCTCTTCAGCTGGCTTTTTAAATATCACTAAAGTCCCCCAAAATAAAATGGGTGAGGCTGCTTTTATCCACTACGCTCTCAAACTACCAAGAAATACCAGAGGCCAACTCAGTGGACATTTTTAAACACCAGCTTTTATTTTTGTTGTACCAATGTTTACTTTATTTTATAGGGTTTTATATTCTTGCATCAATTCACTTAGTCTTGTGTCTTATTATTTATTTGTATTATCATACCTTTTACCTCCTCGTGTCTCTTAACCTGTTAAGATGTTATATGTTGTTGCTATGCTGCACGTACCTGTAAAGGTCTTAACATCTGATCTGAGGGGAATTTCTTGTGGTTTATTTTTAACTTGTGATGTGTGCCATTTCATAAAGCACTTTGAGCTACACCTGCTTTAGGAAAAGGGCTTTATAAATAAAGCTTTATTATATATTGCAATACATTTAAATTACAAAAGTTGTGAACCTATTCTTGGTTGTCAGCTTCTGTTATGTGCTGAGCATAGGAATATGACAAGAGCTGACCACCCACTGGTTGTGTAAACAATCAGTATTTGAACGTAAAGTTGGACCAAAATATTGGTGGTTCTAAATAGTCAACAATCCAATAATATTCAGGTATTGCATTCTCAGAGTATTGGGCTGCCGCCAACAAGTCCGTGGGTACTGATGAAGAAGGATGGGGCAGTCATCACAGCTAACTGCAACTGCAAGGCTGGTTTGGGATCAACATGTACCCATCTCTCCTTTTCTACATAGAAACATCTACACGGATACGTGATGCCAAGACAGTTACCCAGTGCAATAGTTAATACCCTAGGGAGGTGTGTGGTGCAGTGGGTTGTGCGTTGGTGTTTGGATCAGGGGGTCACAGGTTCAAACCCCACTGCAGTCAGCATGTCGTTGTGTCCCTGAGACAATTCACCCCAAATTGCTCCTGTGGGGATTGTCCACAGTGTTGAGTATGTAAGTCTCTTTGGATAAAAGCGTCTAACAAGTAACATGTTCACAGTTCAAAGCTTCTTGGATTAATTATCATGAAAGAGCAGACAGAGTGAACACGCAGGTGGAGCAGGTGGAGATGTTGGTCATGAGGAGCAGACAGAGTGAACACGCAGGTGGAGCAGGTGGAGATGTTGGTGATGTGGTCATGTGATCACGAGGAGCAGCATCAGCCCTTCACGACATGCTGCTCTTTGAACGCTGTCTGGGCCCAGACCACATTCTGGCTCACGCAGATCTTCCTCCCTCGCGCAGTACTGATGCTGCAGAGAGTTATAAAACACATTTTCAACATTTTCTCCAGAGGTGGGAGAAGTACTCAGATCTTTTACTTAAAGTGGACCTATCATGCTATATTTGAATAATATAGTGTAGGACCATACCTATATAAGGCATATTTATACTTTTTGTTTTGCAAAATACCAAACAGATCATGCATTTTAGCCATGCCTCATTTTGCACTTTTTTAGCTCTGTTTTTGCAAGGGTTGATTCTGTGAGAACAGCACCACCTACTGGCCTGGCATATGTACTACAGCGTCTCCTCCTGATTGGTGGAGTTGGCCCAATAGCCGTAGCGCCACCGTCCTGACGTCAGGACAGTGTTCAAATCTGGATCAGTTTTTATCAGATCCGTCGCAGCCCCTTTTTTAGAGATTTGGGTATGGAGGAAAATAAAGAGGGTTGTGTTTTCTGACACTTGGTGAGTTCCCTGGAACACCGGGGACACATATTCATGTATAAAAGACGTACAAAAGTGCATTTTGCATGATAGGTCCCCTTTAAGCAAAAGTAGAAGTAGCTAAATGCTGGAACGCTCTGTTACAAATAAAAGTGTTATATTCAAAATGTTACTCAATTAAAAGTACAAAAGTATTGGCATTGTGCAGATTGGCCCATTTCACAATCATATATATCATATGTTGTGATTATAATTACAGATGCATTGATGTGTTTATCAAAGCTGGTAAAGGTGGAAACAAGTATATTTACTTAATGTACTGCTCAATTAATTTAATTTAATAATCCAGGTGTAAATTAAGTCTTATTTATCATATTGTTTATCACTCATCTATATCTGCAAAGTAACTAAAGGTACTACATTAATGTAGTGAAGTAAAAGTAAAATATTGACCTCTGAATTGTAGTAGAGTAGAAGGATAAAGTAACATAAAATACATAAAAGTACCTCAAAAGTGTACTTAAAGGGGACCTATCATGCAAAATGCACTTTTGTACGTCTTTTATACATGAATATGTGTCCCCGGTGTTCCAGGGAACTCACCAAGTGTCAGAAAACACAACCCTCTCTATTTTCCTCCATACCCAAATCTCTAAAAAAGGGGCTGCAACGGATCTGATAAAAACTGATCCAGATTTGAACACTGTCCTGACGTCAGGACGGTGGCGTTACGGCTATTGGGCCAACTCCACCAATCAGGAGGAGACAGCCACGGCCATTGCCGTTCGAAAGCGCTGGAGACGCTGTAGTACATATGCCAGGCCTCTAGATGGTGCTGTTCTGCCCTTATCTTCCCTTACAAAAACAGAGCTAAAAAATGTCAAATTGAGCAAAATGAGGCATGGCTAAAATGCATGATCTGTTTGGTATTTTGAAAAAAAAAAAAGTATAAATATGCCTTATATAGGTATGGTCCTACACTATATTATTCAAATATAGCATGATAGGTCCACTTTAAGTACAGTACTTGAGTAGATGTTCTTAGTTACTTGTTACTTGTCATGTTTCCTTGAAGCTGTGCTCAGAAAACAGAAACACAGCTTAGAATCACAGCTAGTGATGAATGTGAGACATACATGAATCCCTGCACGTGGCAGTGGCTGTGGGTCTTGATGACGGAGATTATCTTCGGCTTGGGGATCCTGCCTGTAAAGAATTTAAAGCAGCACGGACCAGGGGCATTCAGTCCACGCGCTGGAAGACAAAACAAAACACGGACCATTTAGCAAGATAGCGGCCTCAAAGGAAGTCAGAATGTGACCTCAGAGAGCACTGTCTTTGTAGATTCACTTTGGTGTTGAGCTCCATAGTTTAGTGGGAATGCTGATACAGCATTCCCACTAAATGTTATGCTGCGGACAAAATTCTTATTATTATTATTCCATCCAATTATTTTGTCCGTCTTCTCCTCCCACATTCAACATCGCAGAAACTCCGTTCAAACATCAAAACGTTCAGCTCGGTCGGGAATCAATGGCTATTACTTTTCTCATTCATAACTTTCATAATTCTAGAGATACATCCCATAATTCATCACATTTTTAACCATTGAAGTCAATGGAGACATTCTTCAGACTTCAACAAATCTTCATGCGACTTCAACTGCTAACTGTTCATTCATACTTTCACTCAGAAACCTCATTCCAACTTTAAAATGTTACACATCTTTCTGACATTATTCGTGTAACACAACTTTTAAATCTGATTCTTACTTTTAGAGATATTAAACATTGTTCAGACCTTGGTAAAGAGGTTTTCTTCAGATTTTGACATGAACTAGAGTGCGTGATGTCACAGCTAGAGGGTAGGAAATCTTGAAATTTGCCTTCATATTTTTTTTTAAAACTGCCATAATTCCCAAACCCTACATTCCTGAGACATAATCTTTCATGAGAAACGTAGGAAAACATCTCGTAGCTTGAAAAATGACAAATAATTAAGCAAAATAATTAAACAAAATGCCTCTTGAGGGCATGAAGTGACAAAAACGTTCAACATGTCTCCATTAAAGCCCATTGTAATTTGAGGCAGATATTTCCTCACAGCAGCAGCCGCACACCTTTAGTTAAACTGCCAAAAAGGCCACATTATTAACCCGAAAGTACACACAAATTACACTTCAGATACTCAACTTCCTTGACATGCTTCACATTTTGAAATTTCACAGATATCTGTTATCGTTCTTCCACAAAACGTTCACATGTAAGAGGTTTATCTCTTATTCAGAACAATGCAAACCTTTCATCTCTGCACACCTCGTTAGCTCAAATATAAACACCTGTGTCATGGAACACGATGATGTCATAACACACAGGTGTTCGTGTTTGAGCTAACGACGTGGTCACTGGAGTTTAACAGACTGTCTGAGCCTATTCTTTTCTGTCTGATGGAGACTTCATACTGACTTCAACATGTCCACACATGCTTCAAACACTCCACGATCGTTCCTGTCCCGAAAAAGACAATAATCACCTGCCCCAACGACTACCGCCCAGTAGCACTCACCTCCATCATAATGAAGTGCTTTGAGCGGTTAGTCAAATCATTCATCACCTCCTCCCTGAATCTCTGGACCCCCTGCAGTTTGCCTACAGAGCAAACAGGTCCACAGACGACGCCATAGCCCTCACCCTCCACACTGCCCTCTCACACCTGGACCCGAAGAACAGGAACACATATGTGAGAATGCTGTTCATTGACTACAGTTCAGCATTCAATACCATTGTGCCCTCCAAGCTGGCCATCAAGCTCAGAGACCTCGGGCTCAACAGCGCCCTCTGTGACTGGATCCTGAACTTCTTGACGGGCAGACCCCAGGCAGTGCGGGTGGGAAACATCACATCCTCCACCCTGATTCTCAACACCGGTGCCCCTCAAGGCTGCGTGCTCAGCCCTCTCCTCTACTCCCTGTTCACTCACGACTGCGTGGCCACACACAGCTCCAACACCATCGTGAAGTTTGCTGATGACACGACCGTCATCGGCCAGATCACAGACGATGACGAGACGGCGTACAGAGAGGAGGTCGAAAACCTGACATCTTGGTGCCAGGATAACAACCTCCATCTCAACATCAGCAAAACAAAAGAGCTGATTGTGGATTACAGGAAGCAGCAGGGAGAGGGACACGCCCCCATCGCCATCAATGGGACTACGTTGGAGAGAGTCAGCAGCTTCAGGTTCCTTGGGGTCCACATCACCGAGGACCTGACATGGTCTCTTCACACCACCACCATCACCAAGAAAGCTCGACAGCGGCTCTTCTTCCTCCGCAGGTTGAGGAGGTTCAAAATGGATTCCAGGATACTCTGCAACTTCTACAGGTGCACGATAGAGAGTATCCTCACTGGCAGCATGACGGCCTGGTACGGCAGCTGCACCGACCTCGATCGTAAGGCTTTACAGAGGGTGGTGAAAACTGCACAGCACATCACCAGGACGGAGCTGCCATCCATGGAGGACCTTTACTCCCAGCGGCTCAGGAAGAAATCACTACGGATTATCAAAGACCCCCATCACCCCAGCCACAAACTGTTCTTTCTGTTGCCGTCTGGCAGACGTTACCGCAGCATCCTGGCAAGGACAAGAAGATTCGGAGACAGTTGCTTCCCGTGGGCAGTGAGACTGTTAAAAAATTGAACTGTTGAAACAACTTCAAAACATTCTTCAGCTACTCAATTATATGTATCTAATACCTAATATATATATATCATTCCAATAACTTGTATATAGACTCGTACTGCACTATTCCACATCATCACTTTATTTTATAACTATTTTTCTTTTTGTATTGCTCTTGCTCTTATTGTTATTATGTTATTATGTTGCATTGTTGGAGAAGCCTGTGACATAAGATTTTCAACTACTTAATTACTCTGTAGCTATGTCAGATTGACAATAAAGAACCTTGAACCTTGAACATGTTCCACCTATTTTATACATTATTGGTGACACACAGCTGTCGTCGTTAGCTCAAATATAAACACCTGTGTCATGGAACACAATGATGTCATATTGACAGGTTTGGTAACGATGCAGCCATCAACGCATCTAACCGTATTATGGGGTGTCATCAAATGCCGTTGCCATGGCGACAGACCACTCGCCATGAAGCACGATGTCGCTGTAAGTCCAATGGACACGGTCCGATCGTCCCCCAATCTTCACTTGTATATCACCGGTCCATGCCTCAACAGCTCTACGCCAAATCTGAGATCTCACCATATGCCGTTTCCATGGAAACGCATCCCTCGCCATAAAAGACGATGTCGCTATAACTCCTATGAAAATGTTCAAAAAGTGCTCAAACTTCACATGTGTGCTAACAGTCCAGCCGTGAAGACATCTACGGGACATGCCGTTGCCATGGCAACACAATGCTCACCATGAAACACGGTTTTCTCATAACTTCAGTGAAAATGCTCCAAATGGCCCAAAACTTCACAGGTTTGGTAACGATGCAGCCATCAACGCATCTAAGCGTATTATGGGATGTCATCAAATGCCGTTGGCATGGCGACAGATCATTCGCCATCAAGTTAGTTCAAAGGTTTGCAGTTCAAATATTCTGCTGCTTTTCCAAGCCTTTTTACTTTCTTTTCTTCACTCATCACACATTCAAGCCCCCAGTGTTCATGTATCATTTCAATCTAAATTATTCACTTTCTTCTTACACATTACATTTCAGCATAGCAGTTTAGCATCAGCTTTTCAGCATAAAGCATTCCCACTGGCAATTTCTTCAGGAATTGCATTCTCTAGTTTACCTACTATTTCAATTATAAGAATTAAAATGTCAACCTAAAGAATAAAGCAGAACAAGGTTAATCAGTGCAATATGTAATACCTGCATGAGAGTACACAGTGCAAAGCCATAGTTTACCTACTATTTCAAAAGGAGTGGTACTTTTTGTATTCAGGGTTCATACACTTTTTCACCAATGATTTTCAATGACTTTTCCATGACTTCTCCATGACCTTTACCTAATTTTCCATGACCAAAAAAATGACTCTTTCTCAGCGGTACCACTGAAAATTGTTTATTTGAACATGGAACAGGAAAATAAGGTCTGCATCTGAAACATGTTGTGCCTATCTGAAACAAATCCAATAGGCTTACTAGCTTCTACACGCTAAAGCCACTCAAATCTCTCACCAGCAAAACACCTCGACAGTTAAATGCCATTTTATGTTTCATTACTATACGATACAGTATGTATTGTCGTTATAGTATTAGTATTTCGGCGATTAGATAAAATATAAATTATATTTGATGCAACTTTAGTTACATTTCCATGACTTTTCCAAAACTTTGGGAAGAATATTGTTTTCCATAACTTTTCCAGGGCCTGGAATTAGCATTTTGAATTTCCATGACTTTTCCAGGTTTTAATGACCGTAAGAACCGTGTGTATTAAGTGAATGTATAAACTTGAATCAATGAATGTCCCTGAGATAAACATCTCTTTTGCAGGAGCGTGGAGAGACCCGTTGACAGAGAGGACATATGAAGCAACAGATCCATGTCATTCCTCCTGCTTCTCTGACCTATTTCAATCCATCTCTAGATATGGTGAGTATCTATTCAGCCTTGTGTCGTATTGTAGTCTGTGTACGGATGGAGGATAGATGCTTTTTATTTTTGTTGGAATTTAGGGATATTAAAAACGATTTCAATTATTATTCAACAGGAAACACGTTTATTTTAGGCTGATATTTGTATAGATTCAGTTTATCTAACTTTGAATAGATTTTGACTATAACCACCAAATAATCATTTTTTTTCTAAATATAAATTGTAATTGTAATATGCAATTGAACAGTTTAATGAATAGATATATATATATATATTGTTACAATTATCTGATTGTTTTTCACAATCAGATAATCAGCAACACGAAGTATCTGGTATGCAGAATATGAAATGAAACACTGAAACCACTGGGAGCCTTATCCAGAAAGCACACACCAAATAGCATTTCTCTGTGGAGCAAAAGTGAAGTGACTTACGCATGGCGGTGCAGGAGACAGCGAGCAGCAGCACTGTGAGGATCAGAGTCTGCATGTTCTTCACGCTCTGCTTTCAGGAGTGCTCTGCTCCGATCACCTGGAGCTGCTTATATGCTTCATGTGAACATGCCAGAGCGGTGTCACATTTGAGAGACAGGAAGTTTGAGGCTGACCCCGCAACTCTGACAGTGAGATCAAAAATCATGCACCAAGCACACAGCGGATCTGCGCAGAGGGTGGTAACCAAGTACATTTACTCAAGTACTATACTTACTCAAGTACAATTTTGAGATGCTTGTACTTGATTTGAGTATTTCCTTTTTATGCTACTTTGTACTTTTACCCCAATACAAATTCAGAGGTAAATGGTGTACTTCTCAAATCAAATCAAATTGTATTTATATAGCACATTTTTAAACGATTTTTGGTCAAGCCAAAGTGCTGTACATATAATAAAAATACCCTACAGTAAAGACACTTTACAGCAAATACAACAGCAGTTTGTTCAGAATATCAGTATGAGAAAAACGACACCCTCTGTCCTTAGACCCTACTCGACTTCTTCTCCTCTACAGTTCAGAGGTACATGGTGTACTTTTCCTCCACTACATGTATTTAATACCTTTAGTTACTTTACAGATGTGGATGAATGATGTGAAATATAATCAAGTGTTAAATCAGACTTTAGTTCCACCTGGAGTAAATTCACAAGCTACCCTGCAGTATACAAAGTCATTCAAACTAGCTGCACCTTTACCAGCTTTGAGAACACTTTCATGATCAATCATTATAAAACATATCATATATATTATTCTGAAATGGACCAATCTGCACAATGACTACTTTTACTGTCGCTACTTTCACTATATTTTGATGAGAATACTTTTCTACTTTCACTTGAGGAACATTTTGAATGCAGGACTTTTACTGTAACAGAGTATTCCTACACTCTGGTACTTCTACTTTTACTCAAGTACAAGATCTGAGTACTTCTACTTTTACTCAAGTACAAGACCTGAGTACTTCTACTTTTACTCAAGTACTAGATCTGAGTACTTCTACTTTTACTCAAGTACAAGACCTGAGTACTTCTACTTTCACTCAAGTACAAGACCTGAGTACTTCTACTTTTACTCAAGACCTGAGTACTTCTACTTTGACTCAAGATCTGAGTACTTCTACTTTGACTAAAGTACAAGATCTGAGTACTTCTGTCACGATCTGTCTGTGTTGTATTTTGTCTTGTCTTTTTCTGTCTTTGGTTTCCTGTTTTGTTTTGAAAAGTGTTCACCTGCCTGTTGCTTCCTGTCTCTGTGTTCCCTCCTGCCTGATTGCCCGATTGTGTTCACCTGGTGCCCCTGTGTTTTCTCCTCCCTCCTCACCTGTGTCTTGTTTGTGTGATTGGTCTTGTGTGTATTTTAGTTCTGGTTTTTCTGTCTGTCATTGTTGGTTCATTGTTTGTATTTGACTGTGTGTCACATGGTAGTGTTCTGTGTTCTACTTTGTACCGGATTAAAGGAATAATTCTTGGAAATCTGCATTTGGGTCCTGCCTGCTGCACTCAACCGTGACAGAATGAACCAACCAGAAATGGGCCCAGCAGATCCATTTGAGGTGGATTTACAACATTTTACTTTTTCTTTGGCTTGCTGCTATGGTAGGTGGAGGGGAGCGTCCAGTGTTCAGCAGAGAGAGGCTGCTCTGGCAGAGGCTCACCAGGTGGCAACAGTGGATCCATCTTTGGTTAAGTTCTTACCTGACTGGATTTTGGATTTCCTTTCGATGTGTGATTCCCGGCCTGCTAGCCCCAGGCATGCTAGCCCCCTGCCTCCCAACTCCCAACCTGACACCATACATCTCGGTGTGTTCCGTCTGGAGTCAACCCCTGCTTCTTCCCCATTTCCTGCTCCTGTCCAGGAGCCGTTCTCGGGTACTCGTCTGGCTTTTGGAGGTCCACGGAGCCTCCAAAAGTCTCCTAAGAGAAGGAGTCGCGAGTCCAGGCTAGCAGCCCGAGCCCCAGAAGCCTTGCTTTGGGCTCCAGTACAGGCCCCAGCAGCCATGGTTCCGGCTCCAGAACCGGCCCACGCAGCCATGGTTCCAGCCCCAGTTCTGGCCCCAGCAGCCATGGTTCCAGCCCCAGTTCTGGCCCCAGCAGCCATGGTTCCGGCCTCTGTTCCGGTCCAGCACGCCATTTTTCGTCAGGGAAATCTTCTGGGCCAACATGAGCAGATGATGCGAGCCTTAGCTGAAATCAATCAGTCCTTGGCTCTACACATGTCAAACCTTGCTGCCAGGGGTCTGCCGGGGGTCTTGCCAACTCTATGTCCTGTCCCATTGGGGGTCCCGCCGACTGCTCTTCTGCCGGGGGTCCTGCCAATCATATGTCCTGTGCCGTTGGGGGTTCCGCTGAGGGTCCTGCCAACTCCACGTCCAGTATCGTTGGGGGTCCTGCCGACTGCTCTTCTGCCGGGGGTCCTGCCAATCATATGTCCTGTCCCATTGGGGGTCCCGCCGACTACTCTTCTGCCGGGGGTCCTGCCAATCCTATGTCCTGTCCCGTTGGAGGTCCCGCCGACTACTTTCCTGCCGGGGGTCTTGCCAACCCTATGTCCTGTGCCGTTGGAGGTCCCGCCGACTACTCTTCTGCCGGGGGTCTTGCCAATCCTATGTCCTGTCCCGTTGGGGGTCCCGCCGACTACTCTTCTGCCGGGGGTCCTGCCAACCCTATGTCCAGTGCTGTTGGAGGTCCCGCTGACTACTCTCCTGCCAGGGGTCTTGCCAACTCCGTGTCCTGTCCCATTGGGGGTCCCGCCGACTACTCTTCTGCCGGGTTTCCTGCCAACACCAGATCCTGTCCTGTTGGGGGTCCCACCGACACCTGTCCCGTTGGGGGTCCCGCCAACAACTCTCCTGCCGGGGGTCTTGCAAACTCCATGTCCTTTCCCATTGGGGGTCCTGCCGACTACTCTTCTGCCGGGGGTCTTGCCAATCCTATGTCCTGTGCCGTTGGGGGTTCCGCTGAGGGTCCTGCCAACTCCACGTCCAGTATCGTTGGGGGTCCTGCCGACACCTGTTCCGCTGTGGGTCCTGCCAACCCCATGTCCTGTCTCGTTGGGGGTCCCGCCGACTACTGCTCCGCCGGGTTTCCTGCCAACACCAGATCCTGTCCTGTTGGGGGTCCCACCGACACCTGTCTCGCCGGGGGTTCTGCCAGCTCTGTGTCCGGTTCTGTTGGGGGTCCCGCCGACACCGGTCCCGCCGGGGGTCCTACCAACTCTGTGTCCTGTTCCGTTGGGGGTCCAGTCGACACCAGCCCTTGCTACATCCGGGGTCCCATTGACACAAGCCCATGTCTTGTTCGGGGTCCCGTCTGCGCCTGTCCGGTCGGCTCCGGTTCCTGTCCGGTCGATACTGGGTCCTGCCCGTCCTCCGGAGCTGTCCTGTCGACGCCTTCCTGCCCGGCCTCCGGAGCTGTCCTGTCGGCACCTTCCTGCCCGGCCTCCGGAGCTGTCCTGTCGACGCCTTCCTGCCCGGCCTCCGGAGCTGTCCTGTCGACGCCTTCCTGCCCGGCCTCCGGAGCTGTCCTATCGACGCCTTCCTGCCCGGCCTCCGGAGCTGTCCCGTCGGCGCCTTTCTGCTCGTCCACTGGAGCTGTCCCGTCTTGACCTTCGAGCCCGGCTCCCGGAGTGCCGCGGTCTTCGCCCTCAAGCCCGGTCTCCTGAGTTCCCCAGCCGTGGTCTTCGCCCTCGAGCCCGGTCTCCTGAGTTCCCCAGCCGTGGTCTTCGCCCTCGAGCCCGGCCTCCTGACTCTTCCAACCACTGCCTTCGCTCTCATGCCCGGGTCCCTGAGTTCGCCCGCTGTGGCCTTCGCCCCTTTTTGGACTCTGCCTTGCCCCCGGGCCGTCCGCCCGAGACCCCTTCCGGGCCCGTCCTCCAGACCCCCTCCACCCACCCTGCTGGAATTTTTTGGATTTTTTTGGATTTTTTGGGGGGTACTGTCACGATCTGTCTGTGTTGTATTTTGTCTTGTCTTTTTCTGTCTTTGGTTTCCTGTTTTGTTTTGAAAAGTGTTCACCTGCCTGTTGCTTCCTGTCTCTGTGTTCCCTCCTGCCTGATTGCCCGATTGTGTTCACCTGGTGCCCCTGTGTTTTCTCCTCCCTCCTCACCTGTGTCTTGTTTGTGTGATTGGTCTTGTGTGTATTTAGTTCTGGTTTTTCTGTCTGTCATTGTTGGTTCATTGTTTGTATTTGACTGTGTGTCACATGGTAGTGTTCTGTGTTCTACTTTGTACCGGATTAAAGGAATAATTCTTGGAAATCTGCATTTGGGTCCTGCCTGCTGCACTCAACCGTGACAACTTCTACTTTTACACAAGTACAAGACCTAAGTACTTCTAATTTTACTCTAGACCTGAGTACTTCTACTTTGACTAAAGTACAAGATCTGAGTACTTCTCCCACCTCTGGATCTGCGTTTCATCTGCTGGTAAAATACATGAAACATACAATACAACCAAAACCAAATAACATGAACCCGTTCACTTCAAAGTGAGCCTAAATCACACGAGCAGAGTTAAGAGAGGCAGATGGGTTTTATTAGGGCTGTCAGTCGATTCAAATATGTTATCGCGATGAATCGCATGATGTCCATAGTTAATCGCGATGAATCGCAAATGAATCGCACATTTTGTTTCTGTTCTAAAAGTACCTTAGAGGGATATTTTTCAAGTTTTTAATACAACATATGAGTGGACAAATATGCTTTATATGTTTTATTATCATTTGAACAATGACAAATACTCTCCTGAATATTGTCAACACAACAATCTGAACATTACAAAACTCTGACAACATTGTATTAAAATATGGTTGTACATGTACATGAAAACAACTAATAGATTGCAAACATAAGGCAGGTATTAGCACAACTTATTATGAAACACAAACTAATTATCTATCTATAGATCCATAGTATGTCAAGTGGCTCTTATTAATTAGGGTGTAAAGTCAATGAATATCTAACTGCACAGATTATGTTTCTTTGCAATGCACAATGCTATTGTGTAAAACGATTTTTCCTTATCAGGTATGTTCTTTTAAAACACAACCCCTTCAATTTTGTGTATGTCCCAAGTATTCATGTTTGACCCTTTAATACACTTGAGTGACATTTTTGTGTGTGTATAGCTACTGTCCTCACAAATTCAGTTAGTCCTGACAATGACCATTTGTGTCATGGGCCGAGTTTATGCATCTCATTATCTAATAGGCGCGTTCACACCAAGTACTTTGCCGTATTTAGTGCCGGCACTCAGTGCCCCGGCACTCATTACCCCAGGGCACTTAGTACAGATCGCGTTCACGCCTTGAGTACTTTTCCCTGAGGGAAGGTTACGCAAATGAGCCGCTGACGTCACTTCGTCTTCTTCTGCTTTGGGTTTACTGGCAGGCCGCAAACCACTTCACGGCGTATACTGCCACTCGGAGTCCCCGGCCGGAAGTCCCCGGAGTTGGGGAAGGCTTCTGGGACTCCCAGCAGCTTCTACTGAAGCCTTCCGAGTAAATCGCCAGAATGCCGACACCTCCTCATCTCCACCGCTCCCATGTTTTATTTTGTGTTGCCATAAGTTATGGCGCAGTTCCACTACAGCGCGGAGCTCGCTTTAAGCGTAACGTGTCGTGCCGTGCCCGTTTTTGGTTGCGCTTCCACTAGGCCTAGTTCCGGCCCGGCCCGGCCCGGGGCCACTTTTTCACCTCTTTTCTGGCCCGAGAAAATGGTGGTTCTATCGAGGCCAACAAACAGGGCTGAGTCGGGCTGAGTATGCTAAACTAGAGAGAGGAGCGCTGGCAAGGGGGCTACAACTACAACAAGATGGACATATTTGACCGTGATTTAATTGTAATACACGTTTCAAAATGATGCCGAAGTAACAACATACTGATACCTGTTAGTAAAAACCATGAATTAATGCTTTGTCAAGTCTGCAGACAGACGGCAGGCGAAAAACCTTTTAAAATGCGTATTTTTCTAGATGGAGATTGGCTAAGCTAACGCAGTATATGCTCCGACCGTCCACACTCACAACAACGGCCTATACAGACATAAATAAAGCAGCGACTGTATTCACCATGACACAGGCAGTCTGTGGTGTGTACTTGTTTATATTTTGTCGAGTTTCTGAACATATATAAGGAGCTGTGAGCTCTGAGTGCTAACAGCTAACGGCTGTGTTGTGTTTCTGGAGTTCTCATTGAAGATGCCTACACTGCGTTACTATAGTAACTACCCCAGTTCCTAAACTGTAATGGAAGCGCAGCATGAAGTGAGTCGGCCCTGTTAAGGCCAAGCCGTACCGAGCCGTACCGAGCGTGGCCGAGGCCGACCGTGTAGTGGAAATGTGCCATTAGTCTCTCTGCGTTTGTGCGCTGGGCTAATGCTAATGCTAATAATGCTAATGCGAGGATAATAAAATGGTGGCTCTACAAAACATTTCAGAGTTGTACGGGGCGTGGTTTGCAATTCGCCCAGCCAATCAGAACTGGGGCACTTTTCCCCCAGGAAAGTACCATCTCTCAGCAGGCACTAAAATGGGGGTAAAAGTTCCCGAGATTAAGTGCTCTTTTTGACATTCCCACCATCACTGCCACCATTGCCCAAAACCAGCTCAGATGGACTGGCCATGTTGTCCGCATGCCTGACTCTCGCCTCCCAAAACAAGTCCTTTATTCCCAGCTTGTTAAAGGGAAACGGGCCCCTGGAGGCCAAAAGAAGAGGTACAAAGATCACATAAAAACAAACCTAAAGAAGTGCCACATAGACCTAAAAGCTTGGGAAGACATGGCAGCAGACAGGGCGACCTGGAGAAACCTTGTCCGTGAGGGTGCTGCACTATATAATGATGACCTCTGCCATGCTGCACAAGACAAGCGCAGACTCAGGAAGGAGAGAGCAACCACCAAACAGGTCCAACCCAAACCCTCCACCACTACATTCCCCTGTCCACACTGCACAAGAATAATGGGGTCCAGAATCGGCCTCTATGCCCACCTGAAGACCCACAAGGACCAAGAAGGAGGACAGTCATACTCGACTACGAGTGACCGCCAATGATGATGATGGTGTGTGTGTGTGTGTGTGTGTGTGTGTGTGTGTGTGTGTGTGTGTGTGTGTGTGTGTGTGTGTGTGTGTGTGTGTGTGTGTGTGTGTGTGTGTGTGTGTGTGTGTGTGTGTGTGTGTGTGTGTGTGTGTGTGGTTGGATCACCTAAATGTGTTCACTGAATCTCTTCCTTTAAACAAATCCATTTCAAAATATGTTATATATTTGTTATCATTTTAATAATTATTATTGTATTCCTCCTTTGGCTTGTGTTATTGTTATTATTGTTATTGTTATCAATGCATACTTATAATAATTATTCAGCCCTGCTCAGTGACTCAGTGACGTGGTGCCTGTCACGTGACTTCGTGTTTTCCTGCTAACAACATGGCCACCGAGGAGCTGCCGTCTGAATTTGACGTCGTCATTCTGGGCACAGGTAGAGAAACACCTGAGTTTGTATCTCTCTTTATGACGCGGGACAGGACCCTGAACGCATCACCGCTCCTCTGCCTGTCTGTTCGGCTCAAAACATCCCGGAATCCCGCTTTAAACCCGGTCTGAAACCCTCAGAGCCTCGGTGTTAGCTACAGGCTAACGGTCCCTTCACTTTGAATGAGAGCGGCTAGCAGCTAACGCCCAGGCTGACGTGTTAGCTACAGGCTAACGGTCCCTTCACTTTGAATGAGAACGGCTAGCAGCTAACGCCCGTGTTGCTGTAAACAACAAACAGCTGCTGTTATTCTGTAGTTGATGCTAACTCTGTCTATTTACCTGTTTATGTACCTGTTTACACTCTGTTTACACTCTGTTTACACTCTGTGTTCTGAATGACAGTAAACAACATCACATGACTCTTATTTATTTTTACCATAATCGATTTTCATTAATTTAAGAGCTTAAAATAAATAAGGAAACTTAATGTGAAAAACATAAAGTTTGCTTTTATGTATTTGGATGTATCAAATGAACAAAGAATAACGATATTATTGATTCAAGGCTTAACATATTAACACATGTGTAATAAACATGTGTCTCCTGTGAGAAGACAGCAGCTCCTTCACTGATGGAGACATGCAGGGCCGGCTCTAGACAATTTGCAGCCCTAGGCAAGATTTTAGCTGGCGCCAGATAAGCCAACATCCCCCATTTTCATCACTTACAGCGCCCATCGTACAGGGCATATGAAAAGTTTAACCGGGGTGAAAAGGGTGTTACACAGTGGCGAACCGTGTCTATCACAACTGGACCTTCTGTAGACACACAAACCCCCGCCGCCCCCCCCCCCCCCGGCGTTATAATGTCCGTCTTTTCACTGAATTGTCGTCTTGAAAAGGGTACTCACAACAATTCCGCAACAACTTCATCTTCACCTGTTGCCATTTCAACGTTAAAAACAATAAAACGGCATGACCTGCTTCGTCGCATTCATCTAGATCAGGGGTCGGCAACCCCTGGCACGCGTGCCAGCATTGGCACGCGGCACCGTAGCCAGTGGCACACTAGGAATAAGTCGAATAAGTGTGCAAAATATTTAAATTGTATTTTCGGATCCTGAACGAGACCGCCGCCAGAGCGCGTCTCCCCGTTACCTGCAGAAGGAAGCCATGCACGCAACGCAGCCCCGCTCTCTTTAACTCCAGGTGACTTTCTGCCGCTTTCCTCCGTGGTGCAGTGCTGATCGTTTCACCACGGAAGAAAGCACTTCACAAATTGCAGTACCCATAAGGAGCTTTACAAATGTCGCAGTTTTTGCGTGGCTGTGTGTGTCTTTAGTTGAAAGCCCAGTGGCGATCTGCTCATCTCTCATTGAAATAATATGCTACAAAGGGGCGGACTGGCCATCTGTGTGTTGAACTTTCCTGTCGGCTCCCAGACCGTAGTCGAGGAGGGCAGAAGCAACGAGCTTCAGGTTCAATAACCCACTTTAGCTTAAATGACTGGAGAGAGGCGAGCTCTTCTTGGGAGGCCGTTGCATTTATTTAGCTGTTCTTCTGTTTCACAAAATACATCACAGACCTCTGTTTTTCTGCTGCCTCGTTTCACTTCCAGAAACATACTCACACGCACACGCCACACCCCTCTCTCTCTCTCTTAAAGGGACAGCGATCTCATCTCACTCTGCATGACCCTAATATCATAACATGTGTGTTCTGGAGAATCACAGAACGGACGATCGTCCTTATTATTATGCCGTTTAAACCAATTATTTAAATGTGTTGTTAAATTCGGCATCATGTAAGTTGCGCTGACAGGTCCACACACTGCTTCCCCGCAGCGAGGCCCCCCCGCCCTCCTGTTGATAGATCACGAGCGTCAAGCTCCCCCCCCCCCCCCCCCCCCCCCCCCCCCCCCGTTGATAATTCTCGATCGTTGGCACGCTGATAATTTCTTTTTTTTTTAAACGGCACCTCATATCAAAAAGGTTGCCGACCCCTGATCTAGATCCTCTGTCTCGAGCCAGTGAACTACCGGACCTTCTAGAGTACCTGGAACCGAGGGGAACTCTGGAAGAATACGCCCATTGGCTACAAATCAATATATGATTGGTTGATCAAACTGTCAGTCCAAATGTACACACTCATTCAGTGCAACGGCCAGGGCATTCTATCAAGGATGTAGAATACCTGGTTGAAGGATATTCTACCCAGAGACCCAGAACAAGATCTGATTGGTTGCTTTCTTTTCTAACAGAAAACCACTGAAATGCGTAGTGCATGGTCCGAGAAGGAGAAACAAATCAACGTAACACTGTAATATTACAGATCAACAACACAGATACCATTCTCATTTATTCATTTTATTACATTTTATTTATATAATTAAATCGATTTTTTGTTTGTTTTATCTGAGTGTTCCAGGGTGTTCTCTGAATGCCTTGAAGGCCCTGACGGTTCGCCTCTGGTGTTACCTTTACTTAATTAGGAATGTTGTTACATCAAGGCCGAAAATTAGAATGAGCACCAACGGTCAAAAATGTTTTTCTACCAGCAGCGCCTCCCCAGATCTGGCTATATACTGATTATAGATTATAGATCAGTGATCAGTGACTGGCGGTGTGTTCAGGTATTATAGATTATAGATCAGTGATCAGTGACTGGCGGTGTGTTCAGGTATTATAGATTATAGATCAGTGATCAGTGACTGGCGGTGTGTTCAGGTCTGGCTGAGTCGGTGGCGGCTGCAGCGTTCTCCAGAGTCGGACAGAAGGTCCTTCACCTGGACAGGTGAGACACCTCAGATATACACATACTACAGGTGTGACACAACACACTGTACTGTAACTGTGTGTGTGTGTGTGTGTGTGTGTGTGTGTGTGTGTGTGTGTGTGTGTGTGTGTGTGTGTGTGTGTGTGTGTGTGTGTGTGTGTGTGTGTGTGTGTGTGTGTGTGTGTGTGTGTGTGTGTGTGTGTGTGTGTGTGTGTGTGTGTGTGTGTGTGTGTAGGAGGAGTTATTATGCAGCTAACTGGGCCAGCTTCACCTTCAACGCCCTGCTCACCTGGATCCAACAGCAGCAGGTGAGCTCACGCTGCGCTGTGATTGGCTGCCAGCATCAGGAGTATAGTTATTAACCTGTGTGTATATGTGTGTGTTCTGTAGGAGGAGCCTCAGCCACAGGAGGTCCAGGATTGGTCGAGCCTGTTGGAGGAGGGGGAGGAGCTAATCTACCTGTCCCAGTCAAACTCCGCCTCCATCAGGAACGTGCAGGTGTTCTGCTTCACCAGGTGAACGGCTCACTTCCTGTCGGCAGGTTTCACAAGAAGAGCCACACGTAAATATTAATGGAGTTGTTGATGTTTCAGTGAGGAAGACGAGGAGGAGGCTCCAGACACCACAGAAGAAGAAGACTCTGCAGGTAGATACCTTTAACAGATTTAACCTCACAGGTAACAGGAAGTGTTTAACACACCTGTGTGTTTCAGATCCTCAGGTAGAGACAGAGGAGGAGGCAGAGGAGGTGAGACTGCACTATAACACACACTCAGCTCTGCATTATGGTTAATATCTGACTGACAGATGTTTCCTCCAATCACACAGGCCTCCCACAAAGAGGGGGAGGAGCCAGAGCCTCCTCAGCCCCTCCCTCCTCCTGCTCAGAACCAATCAGAGCCAGAGCCTCCTCAGACCCTCCCTCCTCCTTCTCAGAGCCAATCAGAGCCTCCTCAGACCCTCCCTCCTCCTGCTCAGAGCCAATCAGAGCCAGAGCCTCCTCAGACCCTTCCTCCTCCTGCTCAATCAGAGCCAGAGCCTCCTGAGACCCTCCCTCCTCCTGCTCAGAACCAGTCAGAGCCTCCTCAGACCCTCCCTCCTCCTGCTCAGAGCAAAAAGAAGATCAGCTACGCTCACCTGGTGAGGGAGGGGCGGCGCTTCAACATCGACCTGGTCTCCAAGGTAACAGTCACTATTATATAAACATAAACAATATATAAACATAAACAATGTACTATACAAACAGGAGTAGTGAACGGGAGTAGAGAACGGGAGTAGAGAACGGAGAGAACGGGAGTAGAGAACGGAGAGAACGGGAGTAGTGAACGGGAGTAGAGAACGGGAGTAGAGAACGGGAGTAGAGTACGGGAGTAGAGAACGGGAGTAGTGAACGGGAGTAGAGAACGGGAGTAGAGAACGGGAGTAGAGAACGGGAGTAGAGTACGGGAGTAGAGAACGGGAGTAGTGAACGGAGAGAACGGAGAGAACGGGAGTAGAGAACGGGAGTAGAGAACGGGGAGTAGAGAACGGGAGTAGAGAACGGGAGTAGAGAACGGGAGTAGAGAACGGGAGTAGAGAACGGAGAGAACGGGAGTAGAGAACGGAGAGAACGGGAGTAGAGAACGGAGAGAACGGGAGTAGAGAACGGAAAGAACGGGAGTAGAGAACGGGAGTAGAGAACGGAGAGAACGGGAGTAGAGAACGGGGAGTAGAGAACGGGAGTAGTGAACAGGAGTAGAGAACGGGAGTAGAGAACGGGAGTAGTGAACGGGAGTAGAGAACGGGAGTAGAGAACAGGAGTAGAGCACGGGAGTAGAGAACCGGAGTAGAGAACGGGAGTAGAGAACGGAGAGAACGGGAGTAGAGAACGGGGAGTAGAGAACGGGAGTAGTCAACGGGAGTATAGAATGGGAGTAGAGAACGGGAGTAGAGAACGGGAGTAGTGAACGGGAGTAGAGAACGGAGAGAACGGAGAGAACGGGGAGTAGAGAACGGGAGTAGAGAACGGGAGTAGAACGGGAGTAGAGAACGGGAGTAGAGAACGGAGAGAACGGGGAGTAGAGAACGGGAGTAGAGAACGGGAGTAGAGAACGGGAGTTGTACGGGAGTAGAGAACGGGAGTAGAGAACGGGGGTAGAGAACGGGAGTAGAGAACGGGAGTAGTACGGGAGTAGAGAACGGGAGTAGAACGGGAGTAGAGAACGGGGAGGAGAGAACGGGAGTAGAGAACGGGAGTAGAGAACAGGAGTAGAGAACAGTGTGTGTATACACATCCTGACCATGTGATGCTCTCCCTGCAGCTGATGTTTTCTCGCGGCTCATTGGTCGATCTGCTCATCAAATCAAACGTCAGTCGCTATGCAGAGTTCAAGAACGTCACCAGGATACTGACCTATCGGCAGGGGAGGGTGGAGCAGGTACACCTGTCTGTCTGTTTACCTGTCTGTCTCTCACGTGTCTCTCACCTGTCTCTCTCTCACCTGTCTGTCTCTTTACCTGTCTCTCTCTCACCTGTCTGTCTCTTTACCTGTCTCTCTCTCTCACCTGTCTGTCTCTCACCTGTCTCTCTCTCACCTGTCTGTCTCTCATCTGTCTCTCTGTTTACCTGTCTCTCTCTCACCTGTCTCTCTCTCACCTGTCTCTCTATTTACCTGTCTGTCTCTCACCTGTCTGTCTCTCACCTGTCTGTCTCTCACCTGTCTGTCTCTCAGGTGCCCTGCAGCAGATCTGATGTATTTGCCAGTCGTCAGCTGTCTGTGGTTGAAAAGAGGAAGTTGATGCGTTTCCTCACTTCCTGTGCGGAGGAGACGGAGGAGCAGAGAGGTGAGACAGGTCACATGACCAACAGAGAGGTGAGACAGGTCACATGACCAACA